TACAAGACAAATTAGGAACATGAAGGACATATTTTAAAGTTATAGAGTCAGAGAGTTGAATACTCCCTTTTGCCGCGACCGGTGAGAGCGATCCATCAGCAATTTTGACTTTAAGATTACCCGCACATGTGGAATATGAGGAAAATAGGTTGTAGGAGAATACTCCCTTTTGCCGCGACCGGTGAGAGCGATCCATCAGCAATTTTGACTTTAAGATTACCCGCACATGGGGAATATGAGGAAAATAGGTTGTAGGAGCCCGTCATGTGATCAGATGCTCCTGAATCGATGATCCAAGGAATTTTAAATGTGGAGGTAGTGTTTAAGGCCGTTAAAAAATTACCTCTATGAGCTAGCGAGCTTGAAGAATCGTGTTTGGAAGATTGATTGGATGTTTGAAGACTTGAAAAAATTTTGTACAATTGCTCTATCTGTTCAGAATTGAAAATGCTGCTGGGTGTAGGAATTGTAGTTTGATGATCAACAGAAACTTGGTAGCCTCGATTTCTATTATTCTGCCTTGGTTTCCAATCAGTTGGTTTTCCATGCAAATCCCAGCAAGTATCTTCTTTGTGTCCTGGTTTACGGCAATGTTCACACCACGGACGACCTTTTTGTTGTTGTTTGGTACCCGGCCCTTTCGAAAGTAGACCCATGTTCCCGGGCCCAATATTATAATTCAGCCCATGGAAATTACTTTCAACAGGCCCACTATTTTGAAGGTAACCTATATTACCCGGCCACTACTAGGAAAATGACCCACAGATCCCGGCCCATTACCACTAATTTTAGGCCCAGATCTATTACCCAACAAGGCAGACACTTCTCCTTCGTGATTTTCACCATTCAGCATTACTCTCCTCCGACTCTCTTCCCGACGAATTTCTGCGAAAACCTCTCGTGTCGAAGGTAACGGTCGCCGGCCGAGAACTCTCCCCCTGACGTCGTCGAAGTTCCGGTGGAGTCCAGCCAAAAATTCGAACACCCTTTCATTCTCTAATTTTTTCCGGTAACGAATGCAGTCCCCAGGGCAGTCCCAGTCTTCCTCTGTACTCAAATCGAGTTCCTGCCATAACGCCACCATCTCCATGTAGTATTCAGTAACTTCCCTGTCTCCTTGCTTAAGTTGCCACAATTTGCTTTTAATTTCGAAGATTTGAGAGGAATTTTCGGAGTCACAGTAGGTTTCACGAACAGCATCCCACCCCTCTTTTGCAGTGGGTAAGAATAAATAAGCTTCTTATGGAAGGGACCATAGAGTTCACGAGCCATGCAGTCACTAGGGAGTTCTCAGATTTCCACCTTTGCAAGTGGACAACATCAGTTGAGGCGGGCTTCTTCGTGTCACCAGTCAGGTGCCCCAATTCCCCTTTACCATCGATCACTAATTTGACGGATTGGGCCCATTCTCTGAAGTTCTTTCCGTCCAGCTTTTCCAGCGTGAGTTGGAGGAACGAATTGTCAGTTCTGCCTGAGCCAACTGTGGGTATGGTTTCTGTTTCACCATCGTGTGGTTCAGAGGTCATGGACCCCTTACTGGTGTCGATTGTTTCCATTATCGAGGTGGGTTATGGCTCCTTCTCTGATACCATGAAAATAGATGAGTACAAGCAGGAAAGCCCTTTTTTATTATATCGACATATCAATACAACCTAATTACCTCTTTAAATAGTAAACAAAAGATAAGAAAAAAGGAAAGACAATAATCTAAATATGCTAATGAATCACCTAATTACGAGTTGCCTAAATATACAATATTACTTGAGGAATGTAATATTCTCGTGATTTCAACAAATCTAAAATGATCAAAAAGCCATTTCATAATGTAGTAAGATCAACACGTTTACTAGAAACTTATTCATTCTAATATATGTGAGTTGAATGACATGCTTTCTAGATGTGGTAATAAATACTTTATTATGTTTATTGATGATTGTTCTAGATATACTTGTGTATTTATTATAACATAAGGATAAAGCTTTTAGTGCTTTTAAAACTTATAAAAGTGAAGTTGAAAATCTAAAACTTAAAACTTTAAAAAGTGATAGAGGTGGAGAATATTTTTCCAATGGATTCAATTTGTTTTGTGAACAAAATGGTATAATATACCAATGTTCTGAACCACGAACACCTGCACAAAATGGTTTAGCTGTAAGAAAGGATAGGACATTCTTAGAGATGGTAAATGCCATGTTATTAAATGCTGAATTATCATCTAACTTATGGGGTGAAACCTTACTTAGTGCTTGTCATAGTGTAAATAGGATTCCTTTGAAAAAGAATGAGGTTTCTCCATATGAAATATGGAAAGGTAGGAAACCAAACATCAATTATTTCAAAGTGTGGGGATGTCTTACTTACTAAAAGAATATGGATCCTAAGAGAACCAAATTAGGACCTAGAGGCATTAAGTGTGCCTTTGTGGGATATTCTTCAAATAGTAAGGCCTATATGTTATTAAACCTAGAAGCGAATGTTATAATAGAATCAAGGGATGTAGAGTTCTTTGAGAATGTATTAGCAACAAGAAATTCTCAAAATGAAACTAATGTAGACATTCCAACTTCCAGAAAATCACGAGATACATCTACAAGAGATGTTGAAAGTGAACCTCGAAAAAGTAAGAGTTAGAAAAGAAAAATGTTTAGGATCGGATGAATTGGATTCTCAACTTATTTTATTCTTATCTAGTAGAGGGAGATAGGAAGGATGTTGTAAAAACAATTCCTTTTGTTCTTCAAGTCGAAAGTGATCTTAAAACCTATACGAAAGCAACGTCTTTTAGAGATTGTATATTTTGGAAAGAAGCAATAAATAATGAAATTGATTCTATTATTTCAAATAACACTTGAGAAATAGTTGATTTATCAAAATGTTCTAAATCCATTGGTTGTAAATGGGTGTTTAGAAGGAAATATAATTCCAATGGAGCAATACCTATAAAGCTAGATTAGTAGCTGAAGGGTATCGTCAAAAGGAAAGAATAGATTACTTTGTCACATATGCACATGTGGCTAGAATAACTTCGATATGGATCTTTGCACTAGCATCTATATATGATTTACATGTTCATTAAATAGATGTCAATATGACATTTTTAAATGGAGATCTCGAGGAGGAGGTTTATATGGAACAATCAGAAGGGTTCATTTTATCGGGAAATGAACATAAGGTGTGCAAACTAATCTAATCCTTATATGGATTAAAACAAGTCCCTAAAAAAGTGGCACGAGAAATTTGACTTAAAAGTAATGTTAAATGTTTTTAATCATAATTTGGTAGACAAATGTCTATATATACACTAAAGTAAGTGATAATATCATCACAATAATACATACATACATACATACATACATACATACATATATATATATATATATATATATACATATGTTGATATGTTAATCATTAGCAACAATATAGACGGAATTAAGTAGGATGTGGTTGAAACTCCTTAATTAAATCCACCAACGATAGCAACCCTACCAAAATATACTAAACAAGTATATTTAGGTTCAAGGGGTAATAACAAGTCATTCGATAAGTAGATGGATTTCAACACTATTAAACTATTAAACCCTATCTTTGGCAAATAGTGTTGGTTGTTACTGTTGGAGGGATAAGTTATAATTAAAATTCTTAATGAAATTCAGCACGGAGTACAAGTATCTCTAAAAATAATAAAAATACTGGAAGAACTTCACCTATGTAAACTTCGAGGTGGTGCTGCCTCATTAGAGAGTTGGAGTTCTCTCTCTAAAAGTTCAACGAAATAGGATAAGTGCAAGACCATATTAGCATTAAACGAGTTAGAGGAACTTGTGAAAATTTAACACGTGTGTGATTTCATCGGTATTGTCACAATGAATAACTGATTCAAAGTGTTCTAACTGCTTGGAATTTCGATAATACTTTATGAGATTTACACTATGGTTAGATTCAAATCAAAAGATATCTTTCTTATGTATGAGTGTTGATATTTGATTATATGATTAACATTGATTTTGAACAAGTGGGGAATTGTTGTTCAAAATCGTAAGAAACCATGAATGGATGAACTAAAATGATCGTGGATGGATGAACTTGAAAAGATGAGGAAAAATTAGGCTTGGCGCCATAAAAATGGCCTATGCGACCGCATGCCAGTATGGCCTATGCGATGCGGTTGCATAGGCTATTGCAGGTTTGGGGCTGCAACTGCTATAACTATGAGACCGCATAGTTATAGCCTATGCGGTCGCATAGAAGTAGGTCTTGACCTGATATTTTTGCTGGTCGGCATCGTTGAGTTGGATTTTTTCGAATTTTCTAGTAGTTTAATGGTGAAGCATTGCACCTCTTTTTTTGGTGTTGAAACCAGTTCATGTAGGAACGGTTGAAAACTATAAATATATGTTAGTTTTCATTCTAAATATATATGAAATCATCCAATTATTAATCCAAAAAAAAAAAAAATTGGTAAAATTTGGTTACTAACATAATCAATTCCTAGATTTTCACTTGTTCTACTTGAAGAATCACATTGCTTTTGGTGTTCTTCATTCAAGGCTTGATAGTTCTACAAACTATTTGCCAATTTTAATCCTTAAAAGCATTAAGGAGATGACAAATAATGTTTGAGGACAACTATATAATTTTCGTGATCAAGTCTTTTTTCGATATTCATATTCATATTCTTCTTCATTTTCTTTGTTTCCATTGCCGTCATTCACACTTTTTCCAAACAGGAATTTGGGGCATGACAGTAGACAATTCATCTTTCTGCGTGAAGATTTTGAGATTTTTAGTTCTACCACTTTTTTTCTGGAAAGAAGTGAAAATTACTCTTTAGCACCTATCCATCTGGTACTTTCATGAAGAATATAGACATACATTTCTTTGTCCTTGGGGAGTTCGCGTACATTAACTAGTTCATGCCCCTCGCAGATTGAGTATTATTAATACCTTCACGGTTCACATAACTAAGTTTAATTAATCAACGTATTATTCTTTGCATCCAGGTTGGGCGATACTGAAGAAGAAGAGTCAACAAATGCAATTGATAGAACAGTTGCTAATCTCCTGTTCAACCACATTAGTTTTTGCAGCCCTGCTTCTACTGAAACAGAGGATGAAGTGAACGTCAGTTTTTACGATTACAATCCATGTTTCTCTGCTGACTCTCATGGTACCGTTCTTGATGGTGATGCAGAAGTCCCAGCATTTGGTTTAATGAACCACCCTCCACCAACTCCCCGAGACTATTCTCATTTCTCGCCTACTGCCATGGATTTGCTTCCAAGTGAAAGCAGAATTGGGGCATGAGAGATCGTGGTCTGTCTTGTTTGACCAAAATGGTTGCTTCAAGTTGTAATGATCTGAATCAAAAACCTTGTCTTGTATAGTTTTCTCAAGATTCTGGATGTTTCTTCATGCCGAATTTTGTGTGTATTATGGTCTACTCACTATCATGAGTGGTTAAATTTCTCACTACTATTGTTGGGGTGTTTATTTATTTTGGAAAGCTTTCAAAATTCAGTACAAGCGCAGTGTTTCACCCACACAAAATCAACATAAGCAACGCTGTATTACTAGGTTCTGAGGCATGTTGTCGTAATATGCAAGTCTAGAAATTCTGGACTTAAAAATGACATATTTTATTAATTACATTGAAATATGTTTGTTCTCCGGCCCACGGTGGGCAAGAGAACATTTGCCCACCGCTGATGTGGCGGTGCCATGTCAGTGGTGGATTGAATATTTTTTTGGCTTTTCCCCTGCGGCGGCCCACCCTTTTACCCCACCCCAATATACCCACTCCCCCCTGTTATTACCCACCCCTTTACACGTAAATAATGTTTTATTGTTTTTATCACAATTTTTGAAATTATTATGGGAATATCAAATGAAGTCGAAATATTATATTTTTAATATATCGAAGTGTTCACGACATAATTTTTCTCATATTTAACGACTGCGAAACGGTCAATCGTAGTAAAAGTTAGCACTCGTCGAAACAAGACGTTTCAAAATACATAAGGGTCCGTTTGATTGCAAGGGTGGAAAATAGGTGGAAAGAAAATGTTTTACAGGGAAAAGATTTTCCTAGAAAATGTTTTCCTGGGAATTGTAATTAATTGTGTTTGATTGGTATAATTTTCTACCTGGAAAATGTTGAAAGTTTGGTGTCCGTTTGACTTCTTTTTTTATAAAAACTGTCCATTAAAGTGATAATTTTTCTACCAATATGTCTAGAATTTGTTCTAATTACCAAAAAGTAAAAAAAAAAAAAATTTAAACAATTAGAAAAAATTACCATATTCATTTGACTTTATTTTACATAGAAATTGTCAACAAAAATGAAAATTCTTTTTACAATAGTTGATAGAATTGGTTGCCATCGCTCAAAAAAAAAAAAAAAAAAAAAGGAGGTGGAAAATGTTTTCCCATCTAATAGGTGAGAAAATAAAATCAAGCTTTTGTGTATCAAATGATTGTACCTAGAAAAATGTGGAAAACGTTTTCCATGGAAAAATTTACCTATCAAACAGTTTTTTAAGGGTGGAAAAGAAAAATATTTTCCTTTTCCATGGAAAACTAAGACTATCAAACGGAGCCTAAATAATTTTTCTTATTTTTGTCTTATTTTCGAAAACATTACGGGATATCAAACGAAATCGAAATATTGTATTTTTAATATTATATCGAAGTGCTCACGACCTAGTTTCCTCAATCTCTAACGGCGTGCGAAACGACCAATCGTAGCAAAAGTTAGCACTCGTCGAAGTAAGACGTTCCAAAAAATATAAATGATTTTTGTTATTTTTGTCTCAATTTTCGAGGCCATTACGGGATATCAAACGAAGTCAAAAAATGATATTTTTAATATTATATTGAAGTGCTCACGACCTAGTTTTCTCCATCTCTAACGGCGTGTGAAACGGTCAATCGTAACAAAAGTAAGCACGTCAAAGTAAGACCTTACAAAATATATAAATAATTTTTCTTATTTTTGTCTCAATTTTCGAGGTTCCTACTTCGACGAGTCGTAACTTTTTCTACGGTTAGCCGTTTCGTACGCAGTTAGAGATGGAAAAAATTAGGTCGTGAGCACTTCGAAATAGTAGTAAGAATACAATATTTCGACTTCGTTTGATATCTGGTAATGACCTCGAAAATTGAGACAAAAATAAGAAAAATCATTTATACATTTTGGAACGTCTTACTTCGACGAGTGCTACTTTTGCTATGGTTGGCCGTTTCGCAGTCGTTAGAGATGAGAGAAACTATGTCGTGAGCACTTCGATATAATATTAAAAATATAATATTTCGACTTCATTTGATATCCGCATAATAATTTCAAAAATTGTGATAAAAACAATAAAACATTATTTACGTGTAAAGGGTGGGTAATAACAGGGGTGGGTGGGGGTGTATTGGGGTGGGGTAAAAGGGTGGGCGGCTACAGGGGAAAAGCCAAAAAAAAATTCAATCCACCGCTGACATGGCATAGCCACATCAGCTGTGGGCAAATGTTCTCCTGCCCAATGTGGGAGGAGAACAAGCTTTTTATTTTCAAAATAGAACATATTGAGGCCCTGTTTGGGAGGAATTAAATTTTTCTATAGTAAATCAATTCTCATTTTCAACCACACATTCTTCAATAAAATAATATTTTTCATCACATCAGTAACTTTTTGTTCTTTTTCAACCACACATTTCCCATCATATCACTATTTAAAATCAATTTTTCACCAAAAACCTCTCCCAAACAAGCNATCTCTCCCAAACAACCTCTGAATATTAATGAATTCTATTATGACAATAATGTGTACAAAATGATTTATTTGAAATAACTATAAGATAATTGAATTATAATATTATTTAAAATTAAAAGTAGATCATTAATACTATCAATATGAAGTGGAATTAAATTTATCGATAGTATTGTAAAACGGTTTACATTAAATATTATCACTAGTTTCATTCACTGATCTTTTACGTTCCATTTCTCACTTACGCTTTTCAAGACATTGACATACTCATTAGAAATTCGGAATATAAATCTTCTCGTAAATATTATTTGCTAACATTATCGTTGTCATCCTTTCATTTCTCGAAAGTTCTTTTCATGGATGCTCGTGATTGCATTAATATAAATATATGCATGAATATGACAGGACAAAATCCAGAGGGTAGGGAAATAGCTCATATTTAGCAATTCATGCATGCACACGAACAGATTGTACATATAAAAGATGATTGAGAAGGTTCACTTACCTCTATTCTAATTGCTCAGTCCAAGTAACAAATTACCGTTGAATAAATTAGTGCATGAATTATAATCCATTAATAAAAAATACGTGCATGCAATAATGCAAATATTAGAATAACGACTTACCCAATCATAATGCATGCATAATAATGAACAAATAACTACTTACTCAATTATAGAAAATGCAGAAACCGAAGGAAATAAAATGAAGCGAGGCATGTGAATGCAAATCTCATTAAGACGGATTTCACCCCTGTACTGATGCTAACAAGATCAAATTGATGTCCGTCTTCCAAGATACAATGCTTCTTCCAAAATTAATATAACACGTCATTAATTTTGCCCGTCGAACCAAAGTATAGAAAATATTCTTTTTGAATAGAATAAACACGAAATAGAAATTCGAACGAAATTTTATTTCTGAAAATAAATCGAACATAATTTTATTTAAACAAAATAAAAGGAATGAAATTTTTGAAGAGATGAGAGAATGACAAATCAATAATGAATTGAATTGATTTGGTGTAAGAAACAACGGAATTAAAAGTTTTTATTTATAGATTTTCAAGCGACTTATTAAAATGTTGCATCTCTTAACATAGACCATATATTTTCATATTAAATGCTATAGTATACTTCTTTTCATTGAAATGTTACATTTTTAAACATAGATCACATATTTTCACATTATAAACGGTGTAGTAGTATACACCTTTTCATCATGCACGTTTTAAATGGTCACACTCATTCTAAACAGCATGATTTTTTACAATTGAAGAAGCACCTTTTGGAGACATTCCAATTCACACTATAAAAAATTCTAATTATTTCAACAATCCCCCACATGAATGGAAGAAGTCGACAAGATCCAAGGAAGACGAAGAAGAGTATTACTGAGAAATATTGTATGAGGATACGTAGCTTTCGTTTTGAACCTTCCCTAGTAAAATTCTATCTAACTCACTTGGCTAATTTGTTAACACAACGTTTTGAGTTGTCGATAGTTATAATAAGCATAGGCAATAGATCAAACACATTATTTTTTATATCAAACTTTGGTTCTTGATAAGTGCGTTTTGCGCACTTATTTAGGTCACAAAGTATGAAAAATTATCGATTTATATGTTGAAATATGACTTAATTTGATATAATTTGTATTTGTAGGATTACATTAATGGATGGAATGAAGAGTATGCAAAAGGGAGCGAAAAAGGATTAAAGTGGAAGAAAATGAAACTTCGAGGATCAAAATGTAATTATTCAAACGCACTTATTTAGGTCACAAAGTATGAAAAATTATCGATTTATATGTTGAAATATGACTTAATTTGATATAATTTGTATTTTTAGGATTACATTAATGGATGGAATGAAGAGTATGCAAAAGCTAACAAAAAAAGACCAAATTGAAAGGAAATGAAATTTCGAGGACGAAAATGGAATTATTTAGAATATGACCCCGAATGGCGAATCAAGCATGTAATTGAGCTAAATAATATATTGTGATGTCATGAAATGTTAGAAGAAGAAGGAGAACAGAGCAAGACCAAAATGTAAATGATATAAAATTTGGGGACCAAATTGAACCAAATGAAGAATATTTTCTACCATGCAGTCTTATGGTAGAAAGTTCATGCAGTCGCCCAAGCACCAACAGGAGATGAACAGTGCCAAATTTTTATAGCCATGCTGTCGCATGGGTTTATACCATGTAGTCGCATGATTCAATCTGGGTGCGAAACGTCTGATTTCCTTATTTCGTTCCAACGCTTATGAAAACTAATTTTTTGTTAACTATATAAACTCGTAAGTCGTCCTCAAACCCTAGGCAGATCTGAGAGGAGACTTTTGAAGCGTTTGAGAGAGAAATCACAGCACAAACAAGGAGAATAACATCACGACGCGAAGAATTACTTCAAGAATCTAAATTGGTGATATCGTTCTTNGTTCTTTATTAAATTTTCTGATTTCTTTTCTTCTATCATATTAGGCTAGATTTATATGTGATAGGTGAGCGATGAACCTTGTGATGTGATATTTTAATTCCTAG